AGCTTCATGAACATCGTAAGTAGGCCAATGTCGATTCAAGTTTGTCAGCTCTGACCATCTATAGCTCACTCGTATGTACGACGAACCCGGCTTCGAAGCAAGTGTGCCTGACCAGGTCATGGTACACATGGTTTTTGCGACCATTTACTTCCAATACGGCGTGCGAAACTGGGAACAGCAGGAAACACGATCCCAACTCAATGAACTGTCGAACAAGCATTATCACTATGCTTTGAGCAAAATGTTTGACTTGGCATCCTCGCAATCAGTGGCAGCGGTGCAGGCCATGGCGATGATTTGCGCTCACAGCCGTAGCTTCCCCAAGCCAGGGTGCGGCTCCATGGTCACCAACTTTGCCTTCCACCGCGCTATCGACCTGAATATGCACCGCGCCATGAAGGGGCCAGGCGAGACGACGAATCTTGAGAACGAGATCCGTAAGCGCACTTGGTGGACCATCCTTCTCGTCTATGTCACTCTGAACGGGCGCCTTGGGCGGCCTATGCCTATCACGGTTGAGGAGTACGATGTCGAGTTTCCCGAGCCGATCGCCGACGAGGCCCTGACGCCAGACGGCGTCGACCCGTCGGTAACGACGCCTTGTACGTATCACGTTGGGCTGGCAGGCTTCAAGATCTTGCCATTGTTCATGGAGATGTACTCCAACATCTACAGCGTCAAGCGCGACCCCAAGAGTTACGTTGATGTTGTCAACTCTCTAGAAGAGCAGCTTCGTCTCTGGAAGGAAAACCTCCCCGAATCGCTCCAAATCAACCCAGGGCAGAATGAACATGAAGGCCGTATGTATGCCCTGTACATACAGATGTACGCCCTTGAGCTTCGATTGTGTCTACGCCATCCATCCGTGGCCATGACCACCGATCGCAAGTTTCTCCTCGAAAATGCCCGCATATGCGAAGAGACTGCTGCGCACATGCTCAATGCTGTCAAGAGCCTCGTGAAGCTGAAGTCTCTCGATACCACGTGGTACCAAATGGCAGTTTACGGTGCCGCCATTTTCACCACATTGGTCGCCCACTGGGAACGGAGGTTCGAGGCAACGCCTAATCAGATTGCAACCCTTCGAGAGGAGATGAAGGATTGGATGGAGATCATCAATGCGACTGTCTCGTTACTGGGTAAGTCCTATTTCTGGATATATCAATCGGAACTTTTGAGACTAACCGCTCATATCTAGGAACTGGCGCACGTATCAGTAACGAAATCAGTGTTATTATTGAAAGGACAATCAGCTGGATTGAACACGACCAAAAACAAAAGGACTCGTCGTCACTTGCTCCAGCGATCAAGACCGAACCATCAACGGCAGAGGCGTCACCATTTCAGCTTACGTCCCAGCCTCAAGCAGCGCAGGCCCTGGCTGCAAGTGCCGACGAAGCGGCTACGAAGGCATTCTACGCTGACGCGGAGAATCAGAATGGGACAACTCCATACCCTTCCCTAGCTTACACCGAGCAGCCACCAAGCACCAACACCATGGCATCGACAAGTAATTTCGAGGTAAACAATGGATACGCGTATACGCCTGCGGCGACGCAGCCCACAAACGGGGAGGACAACACGGCTGAGACCAATCCACTGATTGCGTTCGCATCCCAAGCCACTCAGCATGTTGCAGACCCGGCCGGCTCTGCGGCTGCGGCGGAGCTCCTCTGGAGACAATCAGCGTCACAAGGGAATACCTGGCACGACTGGACAGCGGCAATGGCAGACAGCCAAGATAGATACAGCGCTAATGCCCTGTTGACTCTGGGCGGCGGGTCTAGGGATCCCACTTCTGTGACTGAGGCGGCTACAGCGGCCGATATGGCTTCTGTCACAGCTCCCGTCGGCCAATGGCCGCTCATCATCTTTGACGGAGCGGGCGCCCCAGGAGGACAGTAGACGGAGGTTTGGTTTTGATACACTTGCGAGCGTGTTCTGATATGTTTCTCTCGTTCATATGTTATCATGGAGCTACTTTAGGCGTCTACTCGGGGTCTCTTTCCAGACCAGACAACATGCTGCGGCTCAGCAACGGGGGTAAAAGGATAGGGGACTATGGGCACGAGTCGAATGGTTCGACTTGGTATCTTGGGGCAATCCAGATGACCCCGATGGGTTTCGGCGTTTCATGGTCAATTTCACCAGCGATCGTTGCATGATGTAAACCCAGCAATACCCGGCTGCAAGCAAACAATGGGCAGCGTTCTATAGGCGTAATTTCAATAGTCCTATCTCTCTCAAGGCTTCATGTGGTTCTGTAAAGGTATACGAACTATACAGTCGCTTTCAAGCAATCCTAGCCGGTGCTTCCTCACGGCGATGAACCTACAATATACTTTTAGAGTAAAGGCCGAATTTGGTCAAGGGGAAGCAGGGCAGAACCTGAGACTTGTATGGTACCTCACGAATGTCGAGGGCGATCGCTGGCAGCCTAGGGCGTGTAAGGCCTGACAGTGGGATTTCACTTGGCGAGTAAGCATTATGGTGAATTCAAAACTTTATTGAGTTATGGTCATAGACCTTTGCCGTGCGTGGTTTTGGTCTCAAAAGATTGGTATCAAATGGCGCAACTAGGTGCTTAGGGGCCACTTCCCACTACGCATCTCAACCCCTTTCTAAATCTCATCTAAGATCGAACCCGCTTACACCTTTCCGTCATTTGACATTATAGCATCTCCTCAAAAATCCTAGCATCATGTCTCCTTCCGAACATAACCGCCTAGGCCGACTCCTTGCGGACGTGGGCGTGGGCGGGGTTGGTAGACTCAACCTGAATCTCGGCGGGGGAGCCCTTGGTCTCGCTCAGGTTGTCGTGGTTCAACTTCTTGTCAGAGTCATAGTCGGTGACACCGAACAGAGCATCCATGTGCTCGAGGGAGATACCCTTGGTCTCGGGGACGAAGAACCAGACGAAGAAGAACATGGAGAAGCAGAAGCTTCCAAAGATGAGATAGGTTCTGTCACAAACATTAGTTGAATGTTAATTTGAAGGAAGGTCTAACCAGAAACCACTTACCCGTAGCCGTGAGCACCGACAGTAGCCAGCATGTTCGGGACAGTACGGGCGACGATGAGGTTGAAGAGCCACTGGGTAGCAGCAGCAAGAGCGACATTCTGGGAGCGAAGGCGAGCTGCCGGGATTTCAGAGGCGTAAATCCAGCAGGCCGGACCCCAGCCAAACTGGAAGAATGCGGCGAACAGGAAGATGGCGACCAGGGCCATGTAGCCAGCACCTGGCACAGGCTCTCCGGCAATGGGTGGGGAGATGCGGACGTAAAGACCGATGTAGAACATGCAGCAGCCCTGGGCGATTGAAGTCCAGAGAAGCGAGCGACGACGGCCGAGAGAGTCGGCCATGAAGAGCAAGAAGCAGATGCAGGCAAGAACCTTGACGATTCCGTAGACGCCGGTTGACAGAAGAGGCGTGGAGCGACCGGTGACACCGAGGTTCTTGAAGATCATAGGGGCGTAGGTGTTGATGGCGTTGGTTCCCGTCATTTGCTGGCAGATCATGAGGAAGATGGAGATAAGAGCACGGTTGCGGTTGCCCTTGATGGTCCACATCTCCTTTTGCAGGTTCTTGAAGGTGGCGTTGCCAATGAGCTGTCTCTCATGTTGGAGCTGGTCAACAATCTCCTGGAACTCATCTTCGAGATAGGGGTGGTTCTCGGGCAAGTTACGAAGAGTGGCGAGAATCTTCTTGGCCTCTTCCCACTTGTCCTGGCGGGCCAGCCATCTGGGAGATTCGTTGCAGAAGAGCATGCAGATGAGAAGCAGCAGACTGGGCAGACCCTGGATGGCGAGAGGAAAGATGTACATGGTCTTTCCCGTCAAGTTGACCTCGGCGCCGTAGTTGATCCAGAAGGCAATCATACCTCCTGTCACGATGAATAGCTGGTACATGCCAGTGAGGAGACCGCGAATGGCACGAGGCGCGTTTTCGGAGACGTAGAGAGGGTTGATGGCAGAGGCACCGCCGACACCGAGACCTGCGATGAAGCGACCGACGAAGATGGCGGCGATTCTACCGGAAGAGACAGCCTGGAGGACAACGCCGACGAGGATAATGGCAGCGACAGTAACAAGACACCACTTGCGACCGAATCTGTCTGTCATGGGAGAGGCGAGAAGAGCACCGACCAAGCATCCGGCTTGGAGAGTGGACACAATGTTACCGGTCAAGTTGGCAGTTTCCACGGGCTTGGCATCCTTGAGTCCGTAGTCGCTATGGTTGGATAAGTCAGTTTATTGGTACTTTATGATTTATGCTCTCCAAGTCGTCACTTACTTCTTAAAGGGCTCCATGACAACGACACCACCAATGACGGAGCTATCCCAGCCGAATGACATGGCGCCGAAGCAGGCGGAGGCGGCGAGCGCAAAGACTCTCCAGCCGTAGATTTCTGCGGGGTCCGTCTCCATGGACTCATTGTGGACGATCTTCTTGAGAATCTTTTGCATCGCCGACATGTTGGGTGGTTGGTTTCTTCACAACACGGCCAGGCTCTGGCGGGGTTGGTGTTGCTATCGCAGTTAAATGACTGGTGGCCGATGTGACACGACACCCTGTGATGGTTGTATCTCGAGCCAAGGTGAGTCAGCTCAAGATGTGATGAGGGGTGGGTGATGAGCTGAGGACTGAATGAGGAGACGAAGCGACGAAGAGAAGAAAGCGAGGATTTGAGGGTGTGGGCAGCCGGCCCTGATATATCGGAAATCTCTAATGGTGTTTTCCCTCTTTTGCTGATCTGTACCCTCGTCTTTTCCCCAGATGGATTGAAACCCGGGGACCCCTCACTCCCAGAATAGTCAGCAATTTGCCATCTCACATGTAGCAAAAAGTAACCTGGGGAAAAGGGGATTGGAGGTGCTGGTGAGGAGTAACTGTTCGGAGAGCCATGGTCGCAATCGATCCTGTGCGTTTCCCAGCCCGTCCAGAACCCAAAGAACCCCTGCTGCAATCCTATCTTGTCTAGTGTAGCTCGTTCGTCCGCTCATCTGTGCTTCAAAACCCCAGAAAACCGAGCCTCAACGAGTACCAAGACGGACGGTGAATTGTCCATGAGATTTTTCCGCCATTCAGAAGGGACGGAGAGGGCAGCCCGATGGTGCTGGACCGCCGGGGGCGGCAGAGGAACGGCTTGGCTCTTGGGAGAGGGGAACCTATTCGGTTTTGCGATCAGCCGACCAGGTCGTGCAATTGGAGGCTTCCAGCAAAGGGTGGGATACGGCAAGCATCTTGGGGGGTGTGTGGTAACTGTAGTGGTGGTGGTGGTGGTCGACCATCGAGGTGGCCGGATGGGATGCAGCAACAAGCATGGCATGGCTGGGCTAGTCTCAGAAACTAGGCTTGGCAGGCTAAAGGCAGAACGGATAGCACTCTATGTACGCAGTACTCCGTAGTCAGATGGACGACAGGAACGACGCTCGGGTTTACGAGTGTGCGAATCCAGGGGAGACCAACTTCGCAGCCTTAGAAAGACTTTGGTGAAAGATGGAAGCACCCACGTGCGCATCCTACCTACTCTTCGGATACGTGATGACCTTGAGCTCGTCGCGGCCGGTAGTCTCAAAGTATGGTTCTCACGGTTCATCTAGGTATACAAACTATAAACTTGACAAGGGAGCTGTGGGGAAGCTTGAATGCGGCGTAAAGGTAATGAGATGAAAAGATGGATGACCTTGTCTCCCAGGTTACCTCCCAGATGCCTTGACATTCTTTATCATAGCAATGAAAGAAACAAAACGCCTGCTGGCTGTAGACCCGGGGCGCGTGCTAACAGTTCAAGCTTAATAGTAATAGACGTGGCTCTCTGGGGCCCCAGAGGAGAGTACCGTCCTTCCCCAGGTGCCCCGGGATAGGATACAGAGTACTCGGTACGCACAGCGGAGCAAGAATAAAGTATCCGTATGCTTGCTAGGACGAACGGCTCTCCGAATTGTGGCTATTCTCGTTGTGGTTTCCGTCGCCGAAATGTGGACCGCTCCTTGCAACGAGCAAGGCGCGTGATTTGCTGGAAGATGCGTCTCTGGTTGTCTCCCCCCATCACAGCATTTAGGCTACTGGCGAAGGTGGAGAAAGAGGGACGAGGCAAAAAGGCAAAGAAATAAGGACGTGGGCCGTAGAGTTAGACTGCCATGACTGGCTGTACGAATAGAGTGTAGACCAGGGAGCAGACAGGTAGTGCGCTGGACTTGGTTTAGTCTCCTCTTCACTGCGTATGCGCTGACAGGGAAGTCCAGGCATGAGACGATGTATCCATACAGGGTTACAGGAACACAAACACCAAGGGCCAAAGAGTCTCTGACGACCAGTGACAGGTTAAGTACTATGTAGGCCGTCTCTTGATAAGTAGGTACTCCGTAGAGCCTACTTGGTCCGGCGCCTCCCACTTTCATCCCACGTCCCGGATTGGTTTCTGCTCCAACCAGTAGCCCATTTGTCGACCCATCCCCGTACGGTGGATTCTGCGGAGTAAGGACGCGGGTAGGAGAAATGGGGTTGGAGAGGTGGAGATGTGTTGGAGATCGCGGGGGTGGTCAAAAGGAGCCTGAGGAGGTTAGTGAAGTGGCACAGACAGACTTGACCTCATGGGCGAACACAACATCAGCAAGTCAACAAGCAACATTTTGACTTTGTCAAGAGACGAAGAAAGACTCTATCAAAGTAGATCGCGCCTCTCAGTTGACGCTTGACCATAGTTAGACTAAGCTCGTCCGTAGATGTCTTCATTCAGCGAAGGCACAGTGTGGACTCTTGTTGGGCATCTGTCTCGTTTGTTGTCTAAGCTCAGACTCGATCTGGCACTTTTTTGATAACCTTGACGACTATTCCAGCCAAGGTAAGAGAGATCGTGATTCGACCAACCACCCGCCAAACACGATTTGAGTCTGGGGTTATCACGGCCATTCCCATCTTTCGCGACACCACCCCGACTTTGTGGCGTTGGATCCTAAGGCTTGGCAACAAGCCATGAAGCTCATTCATTTGAGGGAAAAATTAATCCGCGTTTCTGACCTGAAGGACCGGATCTTTCTAGTCTGATTCTGTCAACACTCTATTTTTGAAGCCTTCCAATTTTTCTCTGGCACGTACGTTGACTTACTCTCGTATTTGATAGTTGGCTCAATTTCATATTCGTCAACAAGTGTACATGTAGCTGTAGATATTCCAGATATGTTCAAGCCACCACACGCTAAGTGAGCCACTCAGGTCGCCTTCGGCCAACATCATGCGATGCCACATAACAATCCCTCCCCTTCATGTCTGTCTGGTTCCGGACCCGAGTCCTCGGGCCCTGTTAGGCCTGTCATGCCCTGCACTGATTCTGTTGGCGCCTCTTTTGCAGCTGTAGCTATCCATGAACCAATAGTCCGCAATGTGCCGTACCGTCGCAGGCCAGGGCTATGGGACTCGGGCGCGCATCCTTCACGGCTGCCTCGTGGCCTTCAGACATGATTAGAGTTCCCCAAGTGGACTGTGAAGTTATCCTAGTCCATGAACTATCGGGAATCTTTTGATCTGGTGTTACAATCCCGACTCAATGTCGGCGCGTCGCTGTATCGTCATCGCGAACGATTCTCGTATAGAGACGGGACGGAAGAATTTCGTCCTCCAAGACCCGACGTTGAAAACATATGCAAGCCACTCCATGAGCCTCTGCGTTTGTCCTTTCACTCCCGTTCCCTCAATCGTGCCACACCAAGCCCGCGCATTCCTGTGCCACCTCTCACATCCAACGCCAAGATAATCCAGCTCGAGCCAAGTCCCCCCGCTTTTGCTTGTCCCTGGCCTGCCTGCGTTGACGAGCCGGTATGTCACTCAACGAGGTGCATCGTCTTCAAACCCCTGTGGTCACTGTATTGGGCCAGGACCCGGCTCACCGCAAATGCGTTCTCAACGGGAACGCGTTCCAGCAGGACGCCATCATCTCCTTCAAGGGTTGGCAATATGCTGTGTTCTACAGTAGCTGCTCTTCCTCAAGTCTAAACGATGTAACTCAGCGAGAACCTCTCTTCGTCTGTATGAATCGGCGTAAACTACCCAACTCTGAGTGGCAAACGATAGTTTTCGACGATTATCACCAGACCACTGACGATGGCCATAATACCGTGCAGATGGGCATCTGTCCAGGCGATGGTACCATCCACCTATCTTACGACCATCACTGTGACACGTAGGATTGCTTCTTATTCTCAGTCCATGCGACAGCTTTTAGTTGCATAACCATAAGAAAAGGATAACCGTCGCTAACAGATTCCCAAGCTTGAGGTATCGGCGCTCCATCAAGGGCATTGCCAGTGATCCAGAACTATCCCGATGGACCAAAGACGTCTTCACTTTGACTCTCGATTACGTTCCTGGCATCACGAAACCTCATGAGAACTTCGGCTACGTGACCTACCCGCGTTTCGGTGTCTTGGGCAACGACATGTACTTCTCCATAAGGAATGGCAAAGCTGGTCTTGGAGATGATCTCCTGTACATATACCATGCCGCAACAGGATTGTATGAGTATGCTGGAAAACACCTGAAAGGCATCCAGAATAACCCATACGTTCATGGCATGGACTACCGCGATGGTAAGCTACATATCACATGGGTGTATCGCGGTTTCGTACACTATGACGGATGGGATGATCCTCTAGATACGAAACACAAGCAACAAGCCGGACCCAATGGCGCCGATAATAACTATAACATCTGTTATGCTTATAGCGACGACGGGGGTTACACATGGAAGAACGGGCACGACAAGACCATTGCTTTGCTGAGAGATGGAGGCTCGATCACACCCGATTGCCCCGGTCTTGTTGCCTTTGATATCCCCAAGGGGCGAGGTTTGACAAATCAAGAGGCACAGGCAGTCGATCAGGACGGTGGGGTGCATGTTCTCAACCGCGACACGATGGATGCAGAGAATCTATGGAAGCATTACTATCGATCTCCTAATGGCAAGATGACGACACACAGCCTTTCTTATATATTATGATCGTTCCCAAGAATCTCAGCTAACAAGAACTCTTGCGCAGGTCAATGGACTCAACATGCCATCGGGCCAGTACCTAGTCCTCGACGCGGCCGCCTAGCCATCAGCAAAACTGGTGACCTCTTCCTGATTCTACCCGACCCGACCAATTCATCTCTCCGTATCCTCAAGTCATCGAAAGCAAAAGACTATGCTGAGTCAGTAGAGGTCTGGCGTGGTGTTGGCTTTATGGGCGAGCCGCTCGTGGACAGCAAAAGACTCGAGGAGGAAGATGTTTTGTCCATCTTCGCCATTGCCGTGTCGGCGACCTCATCGAAAGATCGCCAAGTTGTCGTCCTCGACTTCCAGATCTAGAGCTGATGTACGGTGGAGAAGAGTCACTTGAACTTGGTTCGTTGACGGGATGGTGAGAGATGCGCATCGAGAAAACGCAATTGGCTAGGTCTAGGTGGTGAGCCACAGGTTGTTGCACATCACCTCCCCGGTATTTTCGCGTCAGATGGCACCCCATTAATGCAATGGCAAGACAAAGCCTATGGTCCCCGGCACTGAAGGGTTCTGTGAAGACGGCGGGAGACCGTCGGACGATTACGGGGCCCTTGGTCATAGTCAATCCAACCTTGGAGTGCCGAAGTTCCATCTCCGGCGTCCAACACAGCATTAGATACTCCGTACTGCAGATGAAATAGAGCTCTACAGTGATCATCATACAGTGGATATTCGACCCTCATTTCAAAGTTGTGCCAAGAGTCATCGCAAAAACTCAGTATGTCGTATTTCGCCCCCAATCCCCCATTTCATTGGAGGACTTTGATCCTCAGAAAGACGAGAGACATGGTTCTGATTGTGATGAAGCCCGTCCCGTTGCGATGATCAAAGAGATGAGAAGAGGACGTTCTCGCGCAGAGTTTCGCTCACTGTGAAATCATTCCTCCTCGTCAGGCTCACCAACTCACCTACCTCCCCTGGTTCGTTTCCCTTGGCAGAGCAGCCCTGCATTGAAACCATCCACCGATGCCAACCAGCTCTTCCCCTTCTCATCAGCCACCATCTGCACCTCGGTTCCTTGAGCCCGAGAAGAGACGATATTATTCCACTCCCATATTCCTTGTCTTGGGTTTTTGCCCAGCGCCCAGCGCAACGAAGCGCGCCGGACGGCCGCGCCGCTCTGGGCAGATTCTAGGACCTGGGTGGGAGAGATGCTAGGACCTTGGCATAACCCAGATGGCTTGCCGCATGCCAAGGAACCCTTATGTATATGCCAACATGGTTTGTATTGGAGGAATGAAAATTTCAGATGGGAGAGTGCGGCCGGAAGTGGGTGCTAGTGAGCGATGACTTGAGCTGTAATTGTGGAGGACGACTCCCAATTGCATTTTAGCGGTCCAAACACGACGCGTCTAGGGGGAAGACTCAACTCTTGGCACTTCGGAAAAAGGATCAGTAACGAGCGATACTAATCTTTAAACGAATCACTCATACGGAAAAGGCCATTGTCGACGATGCACACGGAAAACGGGTGGGACAGATCTAATCATCATTCAAATGCTGAGCCATATTGTTCAATATAGACAATGCAACTATATTTCCGTCATCATCGCTCATAAATGTCCGCCAATATGCTACGAATAAGAATTATGTATAAGAAGTAGTGACCAAGTCGTCACATGGATTGTCCTGATGAACAATTAAGCAAACAACCCTAAGTTCTCTTTCCCTTGTCCAGTCCTCAAATCCAGATCACCCGGGCTTCCTGTTTGCTGAATCGTCCATCTCTCTCTTCTATGACTGTTGCTCAGAAGCTGCGTTCTCTAAGCATTTAGAGGGTCTTGGCGGCCCAGCCAAGCTGCTTGGTGCTGCCGTTGAAGACAACGAAGGCAGCCTTGAGGGCAATGTCACCGTAGATGGAGATGCCGATGCCGGCGTTGCTCTGAAGGCCACCGAAGCAGGTGGAGGTGCTGATGGGAGCGTAGTTCATGTAGCTGGCGGGGATGGTGATGCGAGCGGTACCGACGCCGAAGGTGAAGGAGGGGACGGTCGCGGAGCAGGGGAAAGTG